TTATAACTCTCCAGTCTATCTGAGTACAATCTGCCTTTGTAATGTTTGTTAGTAAAAAGATATACTGTATATTATATATATATATATATATATATATTTATATGGTGCAGCCTGACTCCAAAAACAAATGAAAGATTACTTAATAGCAGGGGGACGGGTAAAGCATCTTTAAACAATGCACTGGCAAAATATTTTCAGATGACCTATCTTCAGTTACATTTATCTTTCAAGCTCCAAAACCAGCATTTGAAGTGGCAAAGTTACTTGCAGTTTTTATTTTAATCAAATAAAGAAGGCCATATATTTTCCCTTCCTATTAGTTTGTAAACACACATAGCTTCTTCTCCTTTAAAAAAAAACAAAAAAACAAAAAAAACAACTCCCAGCAATTTGGGATATCCAACTTGTTGCTCTTAACACTGCCAGGTACACTTGTTCTTTTCAAGTAAAAAAAAAAAACAACCAAAAAACAAAAAAACAAAAAAAAAAACCACCCCCCAAAAGTCTGCATACTGCGATCTCGAAAAAGCTACCCTGGCAGGATACAAAATAAGAAAAACGTTACTGGCCTAATCCTATGGCATTAGGAACATTGCTCATTTCTTTTCTTATATCTGTCACCAAAGTGTCATATCAGTGCATATTATTATGTGCTGAAATGCAACAAAACTTTTCACAAAAATAGTTTTAGGCATGTTCATACAAGAGGGTGTATATATATTTATATATTATATCAGCTTCAACCTGTACATAGATATTCTGAATTTGATCCTTAAAACACATCCATTCCAGACAACATGGATAACTTTCAAGGAAAAAGTGCTTGCTTAAAATTTATCCTGTGTGAACATGCCTTGTCTTCTGTGCATTTGCCCAAGTAGAGATCTTTATGATCAATCATTTAAACATACATATCCTGGAGGTAAAAAAAAGTAATATTGCCCTGACGATGCAAAAGAACAATGCATAACTGAAGCAGCTTGGATTTTAAAGTTATCTTGCATTCTGCAGCAAACAGATTCTTAAATAATTGTTGAAAATTAGTTTCTCCATTTGTGTTATTGCTCCCCAATTGTAAGTTTTCTGGTCACACATCAACAGTACACAGAGGTTCACTACCAGGCTGAGCTGATTCTACTATTGTCATCTTAGGTTTCTTTCTAGTTTCCTCCTTTAAAAAAAAAAAAGAAAAGAAAAACAGAACACAAGATGAAATACAGTTTTAAGAAGCCTGAAGGATCTGCAACAAGCTTAGCTTGCTCTGAGAGACTAATTGGTTCTAGTGCCAAAACTTAAATTTAGTAACTGATAACGTTCATTCCGTATGTAACTGGAGTAAGAATCTCAGTAAGGAAACATTTGACTTTCGAGTGTCCAGCCTTTACATAAGCCCTTTAGGAAAGATTCAGGTCAGTTGCTTTAACAACAAAGTGTTCTGGTGCTAAAGTTAAAATATAGGGCCCCAAGGCCCCCTGCACCAAGGCCCCTGCCCTGCTGGAGCTTTGCAACAGGCATGAACCTCTTGCAGCCCCAGCAGAGCCTGCTGAGTTGCCAGCTCCCACAGGCAACGCAGATAATACTGTAGCTACCGCCCCGCTCTCCAAGACCAAATGCAAGTGTTTGTTGTGGGAAACTCCATCCTGAGTGGGACATCTGCCACCCCGACCCCTTAGCCCGGGGAGTTTGGGGGGAGGAAAGGGGGGGATGGATGGATGGATGGAGGGGGACGGGACTACTGCCAGTGCTGGCCCACTGAGCAATCCTTGCAAAGCCAGCAGGCCAAGGCACTTAAGGGATCCCACCCCAGCCCCAGCCCTGGAACAAAATGTAGGCAAGGCAAGGGCCCTCAAGGGGACACTTGCGTGCCTATACACAAATGCCAGGAGCTTGGGGAATAAACAGGAGGAACTTGTCCTACTGCTTAACACAAATAACTACGATGTCATTGGGATAACGGAGACCTGGTGGGACTCCACCCATGACTGGACCTCAGGTATAGGCAGCTATACCCTGTACAGGAGGGACTGAGTGGACAAAAAAGGGGAGGGGGCATAGCTCACCATGTCAAGGAAAGCTACGTTCCCTGCAAGCTGATATTGGCACCCATGGGGGATGACTCTGGGTTAAAAATCTTTGGGGAACACGGCACAGGGGATACTACGGTGGGAGTCTACTACAGACCTCCTACCCAGGAGGAAGACCTTGACCCGGAGTTCACCAGGGAATTGGCCGAGGCTGCGTGCTCCTGGTGTATGGTTGTCACAGGAGACTTTAAACTACCCAGACATCTTGTGGGAGGAGCACTCAGCCAAATCAGAGCAGTCGCAAAGCTCTCTCGTGTGTGGGTGACCTCTATCTGATGCAGGAAGTCTATGGGCCGACGAGAGGTAAAGCGCTGCTTGACCTGGTACTGGCAACCGGGGACAACCCAATCAGCGAGGTAATGATCAAAGGGAAGCTGGGTAACAGTGACCACGAGCTGATCACCTTCACCATTTGCCATAAAGCTGGCAAGTCAGTAAGTAATACAGAAGAAGTCCTTGACTTCAGGAAAGCTGACTTCGACAAGCTAAGGAGGCTTGTCAGAGAAGCCCTAAAGGGCCACAACCCAAAGGGGGGTTCAGGACGAGTGGTTGTTCCTCAAGAGAGCAATCCTGGATGTGGAAGCAAAGTCCATCCTGTCTCAGAGGAAAGGCAGCAAAAGGGCACAGCAGCCCCCTTGGCTCTCCAGGGATCTGCATCTTAAAAGGACAACCTACAAAAGGATGGAAGACGGGATCCACCACCAAGAAGGAATACTCTGCTCTGGTCTGGACCTGCAGAGAGCAAACCAGGAAAGCCAAGGCTGCAACAGAACTCCAGCCAGCTACAAATATCAAGGACAATAAAAAGTCCTTTTTTTAGATATGTGGGGAGCAGGAAGAAAAGCAAGGTCAACATTGGACTCCTGCTGAACTAGATGGGGCAACTGACAACCGATGCCCAGCAAAAAGCAAACTTGCTAAATGGGTACTTTGCATCAGTTTTTCCACTAGTCCCATGGGATGCCTCTGCCCTGTGGGTCAAGGCGGCCTGGGTGAGGGAGATCAAAGCAGACCTCATGAAGGAACACCTGGACAGGCTGGATACTTTCAAGTCAGCCAGCCCTGACACCCAAAACGGTACTCAAGGAGCTGGCAAGCATCATAGCTCAGCCCCTGGCACAGATCTTTGAGAGCTCCTGGCACTCTAGTGAAGTGCCTGAAGTTTGGAAGAGGGCCAATGTCGTGCCTAACTTCAAGAAAAGGAGGAGAGTAGATCTGGCAAAACTACAGACCCATCAGCCTGACCTCTATCTTGGGGAAGGCCCTAGAAAAGATTCTCAAAGAGGCCATCCTTTACAGACCAGCTGACGGCAACATCCTGAGGGATACCCAGCACAGGTTTGTTGTGGGTAGGTCTTGCTTAACCAATCTCATTTCCTTTTATGACCAGGTGACCCATCACCTGGACAAGGGGGAAGAGACTGACGTTGTATATCTTGACTTTAAAAAAAAAAAACCTTCGATCTGGTATCCCATGATCACCTGTTGGCTAAACTGACTAACTGCAGCCTTGACCTCACCACAATCCGCTGGCTGGGGAATTGGCTCCACAGCAGGACCCAGAGGGTGGTGGTCGACAGAAGCCAATCATCTTCATGCGCTGTGACCAGTGGGGTCCCTCAAGGCTCTGTCCTAGGGCCTATACTATTTAACAACTTCATCAGTGATGTGGACATTGGTGTCAAGAAGCAGACTGGCCAAGTTTGCTGATGACACCAAACTTTGGGGTAAAACATCCACACCCGAGGACAGGAGGGCAATCCAGGCAGATCTTGACAGGCTCATGAAATGGGTGGACGAGAACCTGATGGTGTTCAACACCAGAAAATGCAAGGTTCTCCACGTTGGGAGGAAAAACCTGCAGCATGCTTATAGGCTTGGCCGTGCTACGCTGGTTAGCACTACAGAAAGGGACTTGGGGGTCACGATTGACCACAAGATGAACATGAGCCTTCAATGTGATGCTGCGGCTAGTAAAGCGAGTAAACGCTGGCTTACATCCATAGATGCTTCTCAAGCACATCCGGGGACGCGATTCTCCCCTTGTACTTGGCCTTGGGTGAAGCCGCAGCTGGAATACTGCATCCAGTTTTGGGCTCCACAATTCAAAAAGGATATGGAGAAGCTTGAGAGAGAGTCTAGAGGAGAGCCATGCGCATGATCAGGGGTCAGGAAAACAGACCTTATGATGAGAGACTGAGAACTTTACTGTCTGAGCCCCCAAGATGTGGAATAGACTGCCACCAAAGGCGGTTCAAGCACCTACTTTGAACGCCTTCAAGACACATTTGGATGCGTATCTTGTTGGGATCCTATGATCCCTGCCGACTTTCTGCCCCTGGGGCAGGAGATTGGACTCGATGATCCTCTGGGGTCCCTTCCAGCCCAAATGTCTATGAAATCTTTATTCGTAAAAGAAGTACACAGCACATACGCACCCTTTCTTGTGCCAATTTTTTCATTTCTTCCTGTAACTTGTTCAGGATGTGTAGATTTGGCTTGTTCTTTTTGGCATACTGCTGAAGTTCTATCACACTCTTATCAGAAGTCTCCTGTTCAAACAAGACCACAAGGAATATCAGAAAGGTAACCAAAAATTGCTCATATTTCATACACCATGACTGGTAACATGAAACTATTTCATCTGTGTATTAACCGTTAGAGGTTCTGTAATTAGCCTGCAACAAATACACTTGAGAAAAATTCTCCTCCAAAAGCAAAGCACTGTTTTAGGTTCTGGAAATAGCAGGTAACAACATGGACTCTGAAAACAGCATGTCCATTGAACATCAGTACGCACAATGATTAACACCAGAGTTAAATAGACAGCTAACAGCTACACCAAGGCTAGAACGTTATGAATTTAAATCAAGAGATGACAGAAATAGTGTGGTATTTAAAATGCAGCTCCTTGGACGGCAGAACGCAAAATAAAAGTTACAAAACTGTTTTCTCACCTGTTTAACCATCTTGCTGCTTTCTCTGCCATACATACGCAACAAAGAGCCCCAGTTCTTCACATGTGGGTGCAGCAGCTGTAGGATTTTCTGAGAAGCTAGCTGTTTCCCTACTCTCTTATTCTTACCTGTATAGGCAAACACCAAAACATTTTTTTTACAGATGAAGTATGTAAAGGATCAATTAGTACAACCACTAAGACTGGTATAACAAGGTTCAGCAACTTGAAGTTAAATACAAGTACAGGCAGCCCTCAACTTACAAAGTTTATAAAAAGTGACACCCTGTTTCAACTTTATGACCTCAGTTTTGACTTTACAACGCTTGATCCAATGCGATGCCAACACCAGCAAACAAATTTGCTGCATCACTCATCTCCCTGGAGAACATCCATCCAAAACTTCCTTGGACACTTTCTTTAAAGAAAGCAGACAAGACCCCAGAAAAACCTGCAGCCAAGACCCCTTCAAAAAGTCCAACCAAGAGCCTTTCAAAAAGTCCAGCAAAGTCACCTCAAAGAAGTCCTTCCAAATCAATATGACTGCTATTTACAATATAAATACATTAAAATGTAGCTATATTATTCATCTATAATTGATACAGTACAAAATTCTGGGGTATTTTTGGTGAAAATAGGGTATTGGACATTGGTTCCTGAACCAATCCCCCATTTATAAAACATTGTTTCTTATGAGCAAATTGGTTCCAAGTTACAATGTTTCGACTTAAGATGCAGTTTTCAGGAGCCAATTGTGTTGCAAGTCCGAGGACTGCCTGTACTTGCACGCTAGCCAGGTGCAATAAAGGGGCTGGGGAAAAAAGGAAGAAGGGAAAAAAAAGGGAGAGTTAAGTAAGTACAGGAGTTCAAACTAAGTACAGTACTTACACCAGCCTCGTACTGTGTGCTTGCCACATGTCATGACGTATTCACTCTTCTGATTTTTACCAGGAATCACTTCAAACTTTATGGATGTGTCACCCATTCCATGGTTTCTTAAGCACAAGCAAACTCAATATGGTGAGGCTCAGGTCAATAAGTTACAAGTAAAAGACGAAATTGAACCAATTAAGGCAAGGTCAACATTACTAAAAAACACCACTCAATTTTTTAACTGGAATTTAGTATAATTAAATGAACTAACCAGGATATACTTAGCTTTTTGGACTAGTAACCCGATTGCACCAACCTGCCCAAAACAACATGATCCTCCTCCCCCTTGTCTTCAAGTGAGATAAGAACTAGATCCTACGCTTATAAACAGTGGGCACAACAATTCCCAACATGAAAATGTGGAGTCAGGACACTGCAGTATATACTAACACATGTGGACCTCATGAGATCATCTGTCCTTGGGGCTACATTTAACAGGTAAACTGCTGATGCCAAAAATAGGAGTTGATGGAGGTTAGCTTGGAGGCAGCCTTATACCCTACCTGATCGCTAATGCACCAAAACAGTTGCAGAATTTGCCTCTAAATTAGCATTTTTTTTTTTTTTAAAGAAAAAAAAAATATATCACTATGATGTGATTGTCTTACCTTTTAAGGCACTCATGGAGAATCTGATATGGAGACAGGAGTCCAGCTTTACTGGTCAGTTCATATACCCGTGAGTCCTCAATACTGATATGGTTAAAATACTACAAAAGAATTGAGAAGTGTTCTTCAGCTGCTGATCAAGATAGCACAAGACTGAATATATTCTAATGCATACGATTCCCTCCTGTATTTTCATTAAATGAATTAAGTTTTAAAATTTCTTAGCACAAAGCATTTGGTATACATGTTGGTATTAGGAATCCTCATTTTTGACATTATTGTGCTGTCTTTTAGCAAGCAAAGAATTGTAGTTTTTTTTTTTTTTT